GCTGGCTTGAGAAGAACAAGGACCCCCTGAATGAAACTGTCATTGGGCTCTATCAGAAATCATCTGTGAAGACACTGGCCCTACTCTTTGCCTCTTATGGTGGAGCAGAAGCAGGCTAGTTTTCTAAGATTTGTGTCTTTCCAACTTGAAAATATATGATGAACCAGAATAGCTAACATTTTTTTTAAAATTGGTTTTACAGAGGCTAGCGGTGGTGGTGGTGGCAAGAAGGGTGGTAAGAAGAAGGGCTCTTCTTTCCAGACTGTCTCAGCTCTTTTCCGGGTACAGTATGAAATTAATTATTTATAAAGTGATATGAACAGACTTAACTTTTATGAGGAACCAGTATGAACTGAGCAGAATCTAATCATAGTAGGGAAATATATTCATAGTCTTTTTCTTTTATTATTCTGCTTGAAATAAGTATATGTTTCAAATATTCTTTATCTAATGCCTGATTTTCTTTCAAAAGAACACTTTTGTTCTGTGTTAAAAAGGATTATGCTAAAATTTTGATACAGTAGAATTTCCATATTAACCTATAGAATTTAAAACTTCCATTTAATAAGAATGCATAAAAAAAGCAGCTTTGGATAAAAATAAATTTTGGATTGGATTGCTATTTTATCAGTGTTAATTCAATATATTAGTATCCTGACATCTACAGGATGAGTGTGCAGAACTAAAATTTGTTGATCTAAACTGCACACAATCCCACAGGAGAACTTAAACAAGCTGATGACCAACTTACGGAGCACTCACCCCCATTTTGTCCGCTGCATCATCCCAAATGAAACAAAAACACCCGGTAAGAAGCTCATACACAAAGAGATGTGGTACAGCTGGTGCCCTCTGCCCTGGAACATAAGGCTTTCATTTGTGCTCTCAACTGTCAGGTGCCATGGAGCATGAACTGGTGCTGCACCAGCTGCGCTGTAACGGTGTGCTGGAAGGGATCCGAATCTGCAGGAAAGGATTCCCCAGCAGAGTCCTCTATGCAGACTTCAAGCAGAGGTAGCAGGATTCCTGCACTGGAATCATTTAACCAGAGTCAAGTGCCTTGTGGCTTCAGTCAGGCTGGACTCTAGTGTCAAGTGACAGCAGCCACCATGTGCTTGCTGGGAAGAACAACCTTATCTTCCTCCTTCTCTTTGCACAGGTACAAGGTGCTTAATGCAAGTGCCATCCCCGAGGGACAGTTCATTGACAGCAAGAAGGCTTCTGAGAAGCTCCTTGGCTCCATTGATGTGGACCACACCCAGTACAAATTTGGTCACACCAAGGTACAAACACTCCTTGACCCACGGACCGTGTGGCTGTGCTTGGTGCCACCTGACAGTGACGTGCTGCAATATTCCCCTTCTCCAGGTGTTCTTCAAAGCTGGGCTGCTGGGGCTCCTGGAGGAGATGAGAGATGACAAGTTGGCACAGCTCATCACTCGCACACAGGCCAGATGCAGGGGCTTCCTCATGAGAGTGGAGTACCAGAGAATGGTGGAGAGGAGGTAGACATTTCTCAAATGCAAATAATCATTGAGCTTTGGAGAAAGTGTCTACACCATTCACATCCAAATTATTCAATGTACATTTTAACTATGCTTCAGGGAGTCCATCTTCTGCATCCAGTACAACGTTCGTGCATTCATGAATGTCAAGCATTGGCCATGGATGAAGCTGTTCTTCAAGATCAAGCCCTTACTGAAGAGCGCAGAATCAGAGAAGGAGATGGCCAATATGAAAGAAGAGTTTGAGAAAACCAAGGAAGAGCTTGCAAAATCTGAAGCAAAGAGGAAAGAGATGGAGGAGAAAATGGTTAAACTAATGCAGGAGAAAAATGACCTGCAGCTCCAAGTGCAGGCTGTGAGTATCATCATTCATTTACCATTCAGAAAAGGAGTCTCTATAGCCAGACTTCTCTTTCCAAAGCTGTATTTCAGACTATAGTTGACTTTAAGTCAATTACTTGGTCAATTATCCATTATATATTTTGAAGTAAAGAAAAATGARGGCTGGATTTGCATGGTGAGCTGAGTTATATTATTTAAAGGTAGAATTCAGGCCATCTGCTTTTGACCCTCAGTGCCACCATTGCAAAGTGAGTGTCAGCTCCACTCTGAAGGAGTGTGTCTACACGTGTCCATGTGAACTTACAGTATAAGATGCCATTATAATTATTGAAAAGTTTATCTTTCAGTTTATAAAGTGGGGACAGTGATTAACCTGAACACTCCACCTTAATTCAGTTTCCTACATTAAAACTAATGCCATTTCATATGATGAGGGTATCTCACCTGTACTCCTGCAGCTATTAATCCCATGACACAAGTGCTAATCCTGAGTGTATGTCTCAAAAGCATTTAGCGTCTCAAAAACACAGGCAACATTTAGGCAATGTTGCTTCAGCAACAAGGGTCTACTTAGGGTTAGAAGTATCTTGATAATCACCATTAATTGTATTGACTAGGTATTCAAAGATTAATGTGAGTTAAGACATTCCAGTACCATGCAGGCATTCTCCTTTAGAGATGTGAAACTCAGTTACCTAATTGGGATTATTTACACTACGGAAATCTCCAAATAATTTTGTAAATGGCAAACTATAAAACATAAGTATTTTGAAATGAACAGTATCACCCACATCCAAATAACGAAAAACTATATCTTGGATAAACAAAGTGAAACATGTTTGAGCTAGGAACAGTATATGATGATGCAAAGAGAGTGGATAAATAAAACTTAATGAAGACTCATTGTGAATTTGAGTTGTGCAATTACTATTGCCGCAAAAGAAATTCCTATTACGTCAGCATAATAAACAATCTTATATTCACTGTTAAATCTAATTTTGCAACCAAAATTTTATATGTCTACCAGGAAGCTGATGCTTTAGCTGATGCTGAGGAAAGATGTGACCAGCTGATCAAAACCAAAATCCAGCTGGAAGCCAAAGTTAAGGAGGTGACAGAAAGGGCTGAGGATGAAGAGGAAATCAATGCTGAGCTGACAGCTAAGAAGAGAAAACTGGAGGATGAATGCTCAGAGCTGAAGAAAGATATCGATGACCTGGAGTTAACGTTGGCCAAAGTTGAGAAGGAAAAACATGCCACCGAAAACAAGGTACAACACAGAATTTGTCACTCATACTCCAGAAATCAATGGTACAGCACATTTGTAGTTACTTCCTTTAATTACTATCTGCTCCTATATTCTCACAGGTGAAAAACCTCACTGAGGAGATGGCAGGCCTGGATGAGAACATTGCCAAGCTGACAAAAGAGAAAAAGGCCCTCCAAGAGGCCCACCAGCAGACACTGGATGAYYTGCAGGCAGAAGAGGACAAAGTCAATACGCTGACCAAAGCTAAAACCAAGCTGGAACAGCAAGTGGATGACGTAAGCACGTGTGGATGTGGTAGGATCAAATCTGCTATAGAGTTGTTTTTTCTGTCAGGGAACTGACGATGGTCTTTGGACAATGATAGCACAGCTGTGGAGGTAGGCACAGCGGGAAGAGCATTCATGGCCTTGTTGTGTTTAGCTTGAAGGGTCCCTGGAGCAGGAGAAGAAAGTGCGCATGGACCTTGAGAGAGCCAAGAGGAAACTGGAGGGAGACCTAAAGCTGGCTCATGACAGCATAATGGACTTGGAAAATGATAAGCAGCAGCTGGATGAGAAACTCAAGAAGTAAGTGTGTTTGTGGGGCATATTTGTACTGAGCAAATATGCCTACATCACACTTTGGGCTGTAACAGTTTACTTTGTGCACAGGAAAGACTTTGAAATCAGCCAGATCCAGAGCAAGATCGAGGATGARCAAGYYCTKGGCATGCAATTGCAGAAGAAGATCAAGGAGTTGCAGGCAAGTCTCTGTTCCCTCCCTTCTCTCATGCCGACAGAGGTTCAGCTGGAGCAGGGCATGAGTGTGAA